CACCCATTTGGTGGACTGGAAGCGTTTCTGCAGGCACCCATGTAGGCCTACCTAAATCAAATAAGTAAGCACTCTATAGGAATATAGTTCAGGAGTGTACTTATTACCGTACCCAACGGATTATAATAATTATTCTTGCTCATCCTTATTTCCACGGAACGAAAAGTCGTCAGCTGCTGCCATCGCGTTTTAACGGCAACTAAAATAATTACAATCAGGAATGTATGCCACTCGCATGTCTCTCCAAAAAACCATGACCACATTTTATGTGCGTCTGATACGAACGACGGTTTTGGTAAGATTTAGCCGTTTATAGCGGTAGGCCGATGTAAAGCAGTTCCTCACGCCAGCAGGGGCCTAGGCCAACGTTTATTTGTGCGGTAGGCTTTTTCTCTTGAAATTTTTCCAGGCACAGGCAAAGCGTAATACTTGAATCTTTTATTACCCGCCTTTGTGGAGGGTGCATATGGATTCTGGCAGAAGGCAAAAACGGTTCACGCAGCTATAAACGCGCATCTCAGTAATGAAGTCTTACCGTGAACAAACTCGAAAGGCAGGACCCACCAGGGATTTCCAATCCACGAAATGTATAAGAAACGGAGAACATTGATCAAAAGACCGAGGTAAAGGACTTTGATATGACCTGGTGTGGGAAGAAGCATTTTTAGCAGTCTCTTATATGATAAGCGTCACGAGCAATATTGGTGTCATGCCAGCTAACTGCTTCAAAAGAACTGGGCTGACGAGGAATCAAGCTTAAAGTCCGTTATTAGAAAAATAAGTACTTTGCAATTGCTTAATTCCACTAGTAAGTTCATGTATTGCAACAGCAAGAAAAATGAATGGTAAAAAAATTAACTCCCTCCCCAACAAAATAACGCATAAATGTGAGCTTATGCTAAAATGACTCCAAAGCCAATGACACAAGCACAGAACGCATGCGAAGTCTTACCGAAACGTTTAATTGCCGGATAGCTGAAGTAGTAAGCGACTATCTCAGACAGGTAGTTTATGATGGAAGCAATACCATAGAGGGTTGGTGAGCCCCCAAGTTCTTGCAGATGCCAGAAGAGGAAGTTAAACACGATCCCGGAACCGAGGCCCATGAACCAAGTGACGAAGAGAAAGGTCGCGAGACGCGGATTTGTGAATTGCTTCAGGATGGTCAACCACTGAGTGATCTAGAATGGTAATATTGTTAGAACTCTCGTTAGTTAAGTTCTTAAGCAGCCTAAGAAGTGGAAATTTTGCGAAATGGGTAGAGTTCTCAGAGTACTCGGTGAGTATAATACAGGAAAATAAATCCTGAGGAATCTGAGATTATTTTGGTGCTTTAATCGGAGAAATCTATTCCTTCTTTAAAAAAACACGATTCAAGGAATCAGCCAAAGTTTT